ATCAGACACTTTCAGCTTGATCAAAAATTGGGTCATACTTTTAACATCTTAGGTCCCCTGTAAAAATGAGATTAAATTTTTGCCGACTGGTTCAAAAACTAGGTACATCTTTTTAAGGGCTGAAGCTTCATATAAAATTTAGATCTTTTAACTATTAACCAGTTAGATCACAGTATTCTAGTAAAATCTTAATCAGGTTGTAAAAACAAGTTTTATACACTTGATTTGAAGTTTCATCAAAACTTTACCTCAATGACCATCTACAGAACAGCTTGAATACATCAGCGAAAACTAAATGGTTTTCAGACACAATTGAGAGACAGAAAGAATATTTTCTGACAATAATAATTGGTAAAGATTGAATAGCAGAATAAGAGCCATATGCAGCACTTTGCCTTATTTTTTAATAAAGTTATACTTAAGTCGAACTTTAGGTATGCAACGGTTGATCTTTACAAAAGTCGTGCTTAAATATAGAAAATGAAAGCCTTAATCCTAACTTTGTAAAGTTCGACTTTAGCCAAAGTTCAACTTTAGCCAAGGTTAGAGCGCTAAGTATCTTCTAAGCTAATCTGATCTTAGTTTAGATTGTCAGACTTTGAAGTAAATTGTTATGTAAATTCACAACGAAATCTAAATTGAAACACTGCAAGGAATAACCATCAGAAAAAGACAGTTTCTATCATTGTATGGTAATCTTGTCTGAGATTAATTCTATTTTAATGACTACAGTGGACTTGAGTGGAATAATCTACAGACAGAACGTATATTCATGTAAATAAATAAAACAACTACTAACAATCTGAAACGCAAAACAAAACCAACATTTTGGCAAAACATTGGTAGCAGATAATGAACCTTTCATATGAGGAAATAAATCCATTATAAGCGAGTATTTCATAATGAAAAGTGGTATCAGGTGTAGAAGAGTAAGCATACCCTGTCTGGTGCCACACCCGTCAATTCTATTGTGGTGTTCAACATTGCTTTGGACATATATGGAGTAATATTTTTATTATAAATTATAGATGGTAGCAATTCCAGGATGAATCAAAGATATTTATATTCAATGCTAATTTGGTCTCCTGTCTGAAGAAAATATTCCAAATAAATATTATTAGCTATGATATACAGGCATTAATATTCATCTGTATTCAATTATACAGACAAATATTCCTAACAATGTTATATCAATAGACAATAAAGTCAATGGGGAGCTGTGACAACTTACTCCCTAACCTGGGGGTGTGTTGGGGTGAACAAGGTCTTATCCAAACAGGGGTCGTGATCCTACAGATGCATATTTAAACCTTAATAATCAATTCTAATGATTGACCAATCAGATGACTGGAACACTAATTTCATCTTATATTAAGAATTTGAATATGAGGCAATTGAAAATATTTAGATATGACAGACAAATTAATTCCTTCCAAACCCCACCCCCACTTCAAACCTTACTTCCAAACCCCACCCCCACTTCTTCCCGGATATAATGTGACAAAAGATGAAAAGGAATAATATTACCATTAACTATACTAATTATCTGGGTCAAACTGAATATTAATTATAAATTCTGAATAAATTCTCATCCAGACCTACCTAAAGGTCACGGCATGATTGACATGAGGGTAGAAAGTGAGTGACAGGTCTGACCTCTGACCCCTATTATTTAAATAATCTTGTCAAAATTTCAATTAAATGAAACATTATCCCATAACAGTGAATTAATAGACTATTGTAAACATTCTAAATAATAACTATCAAAATATTTCTACCTCTCTCTTTTATTATAAATAAAGATACAGATCGTACTGGGCTGTTCTGTTAATCTCCCTTTACATCTTTGGAATTCAGAAATGCCAAGAGTTACTCTGTCCTTTTCATTATACATGTATAAATAACAATACAAATCGTAAAGGGCTGTTCTGTTAATCTCCCTTTACATCTTAAGTTTCAGAATTCAGAAATACAAATGAATAGTTAATAATTGTGTCCTTGTCATCATAAATGTAAATCAGATCAGAATGGAATTCATGGATTGAAAATAGGAATTCAAGAAAAATGGTGATACAGATCATAAGAGGCTCTTCTGTTAATCTCCCTTTCAGATCTTACAGTTCCGAAAATTCAGAAAATTAGAATGCAATGCATAAGGCTCTTACATCTCATGCTTCAGATTTCACAAATACAAATAGTTACTAGTGTCCTTCTTTTACATAATGATATGTAATATGTAATGTTGATTTAGATACAACAGGCTCTGATAACAGCCACAGGCTTTCACCTTTCATCAAAAACTAGGTCAGAATAAACATAGTTAAGGATTATAAAATAATAAAATAAAAATCAGAACTATTAACAGTCCATCAAAATATCTACGTCCATTTGTTCTTCATGTCAGAATTTAATGAGAAAAAATTCATCATGGGTCCATAAATGTCAGAGAAAACAGAAGATAAAGTAGGTAGATGTCTGATTGAACAACTGTTTCATTTATCATAGTGAAAACTAGCCTGGACTGTTAACATGGTCAGAGCAAATTACTTTCTCACTTTTTATTTTCGTTCTCATATCTAACGTTCTTTTTAACTCAAAAGTTTGCTTTTCTGTTTAAAAAATGTTCTATTTATGATTGTAAAAACTAGTGCCACTGTAGAAGGGTCAAATTAACCATACATTGGACCAATTATACCTTATCTGTGTTTGAAATTTAAAATGACAACTCGTTTTTTCTTGGATGTCATTTTTAACATATTTAAAATATCTCTTACCTATCAACAGATCAAAATAATCCTAAAACTTCTAAATCTGAAATAGAAAATTAAATTTTACTTCAATTTTCAACATGGAATCTAAACCATTGAACACAAGTCCTTCTCTATTTGAAATTTTCTTAATTTCAAAGTCTTTTTTCTAACATTTGCAGATCACTGTCCTTAATTCCATGGGTGGAAAATAACAAGTTAACATGATATCCCAGACTAAGTCCTTAATTTGTTAAATCCTTACTCGAATGGTTGGTTAAACTCTGCTTCCAGAAAGCTGATACCACAGTCTAGATCCTTACTAGAATATTACAATGATCTGACCATATATACTACTGTATATTTATACTGGACAATTAAATTTCTACTGATTTAAAATAACATTAGCCTAATTAATTATTAATTAGCACTAAATACTGATCTGAATTGACAGGTTTTGTTTCAATCCAGGGGACATTTGGCTTAGTGAGAGTTAAATCTAGATTGGATTTGTCAATGTCATTTACTATCTGAGACTCACTTATTGGAGTATTATTATTATCAGCAGGATACTAGGCTAGCAATCACTAGCAGGTTTTTAATCTTCTTAACTATGTAAAATCTATAGAAAGCTTAGTCTGATTATATCAATGTCACTTGCTGAGACAACATGTCATTTGATACTTTAAAAAGCACACTTATATAAAGAGTTGCTGCAAACTGAGAGCCCTTTAGCCAAGTTATCACTTAAGGCTTTTATGAACTTTCATATTTCTCCTGATGAAATATATTCAAAACCTTCTAATGTCACTTGTCAAGGCACAAAAATGAAATCTTTTTTGGGATCACTAGGATCTGATCTTTTGCCAAACATCTTGACATTGATCTTTCTATAAAATCAACTCAATGACTGACATTCATCCAGGGATTTCGTTACAATTCGAGAGCCTTTTTTATTTTTAGCTATATAATCAGTAGATATACAGTTTGTAGTAACTGTTTATATATTATTTCTTATTTGAAGGGAAAGTTTAGGATAGGATCAATACCAATATTCATCAAAGATAGACTTGTAGAAATTTCACAGACACATTCCCTGACAATTTTTCTCTTTAAGTACAAGTTATGTAAACATTTACGAAGGACACACAGTGGCACCAAGCCAATTATATTGTGTCTATGTTATACTAGGGGAAAGACAGAGATTACAAACATTGTTATTATAATATTATTAACACTAATTAACTAATTAGATTTATCTAGCTAATCTTGTACAAACTTCAATTAGGTTTTATCAAAACAGGTGCATACAGGACCAATATGTCACTAAGTGTCTTATAGTACACACTATCCTCCAGAACAATACAATAAAGCCCTGTCTGCTACTAGCAGGGCACATAAAAGATCCTTTGACTGTTGGTAAACTAAAAAGAATAGGAAAATGGTGATGTCCTGGCAAAACTTCGTCATTGCACACTGCATGGCATTGTCAGTCTTCAACCAGGTACAGAACAGTAGGAAGTAAAACTCCCTTCAATTTTCATAATGATACAAGATCCCATGTTCTAGTAAGTATTTTTTATCTCATACAAGAAACCATAAAATTTATCCCTAATCTTAATACATAAATATTTAGATTTTCTCATGAAAATAAAGTGGTTATCAGTGATGGTCTAATGTATATATTAATGGTGATGTTGAGGTACAGGTTGGTACATGATGGTGAAAGGGTTAACATTTAGAGATGGTTTGTAATTACTAGAACAATAGACAACATTCCCTAGTCCATCATTGTCATATACCACATAGTTAAAATAACATTAACACTTTCACCTCCAGATAACACTTTTAATGAATATATCAACCTGGCCCTGTATTCTCAAAATGATCTTGGTACTAGGATAACACTTTTAATGAATATATCAACCTGGCCCTGTATTCTCAAAGTGATCTTAGAGCTAGGATAACACTTTTAATGAATATATCAACCTGGCCCTGTATTCTCAAAATGATCTTAGAGCTAGGATAACACTTTTAACGAATATATCAACCTGGCCCTGTATTTTCAAAATGATCTTGGTACTAGGATAACACTTTTAATGAATATATCAACCTGGCCCTGTATTCTCAAAATGATCTTAGAGCTAGGATAACACTTTTAATGAATATATCAGCAATGATATTGTACCCTAAATGTTAAATTCTAAGGCAAACAAAGACACTGTTCATAACTATATATCAGCCAGATATTTGTGTTGGCATATATTTGTGTTTTTGTGTTGGCAGATATTTGTGTTGGCATATATTTGTGTTTTTGTGTTGGCAGATATTTGTGTTTGCAGATATTTGTGTTGGCATATATTTGTGTTTTTGTGTTGGCAGATATTTGTGTTGGCAGATATTTGTGTTTGCAGATATTTGTGTTGGCAGATATTTGATATTTGTGTTGCCAGATATTTGTGTTTGCAGATATTTGTGTTGCCAGATATTTGTGTTGCCAGATATTTGTATAATTTATTGAAATGAAATGGATTCTAACATCAAATATAAAATCCTCATCACAAAAAACACAATGAAGAACATGAAAAAACAATTGACAAGATACTAAAACTAGTACAATACTTTCCATAAAATTGAAACCATGACTCTAAAGAGCAAGCATTAAGCATCAATAAATCGTCCCAAACGTACCATTTCACTTTAAATTGATTAAAATTTAACCAGAGTTTTAATCTCCGCATGTTAAATCAATCAGCAAGTTTTGACACCAGTCTAGAACAGGAGACAGACACCACAGTAATCAACAACACACTGATTTTATAAATAATTAAAAACTTAATTACTCTAACCACACTGTGTCTGGAAGTTTATTGGAGTTGCACCAACTTGGGTTTTAATGTTGTCTGATAGACAACAAGGTGCATTGAGTTAGAATCTCTTAGAATTTCAACACTCAGTGAATCAGTCAAACTATGTCATATTCCAAATTTGATCATTACAGCAACCAGTTTTAATTAATGTCATCTGAGAGACAATAAGGTGCTGACTGAACTTCTATCAAAAAAAAGTTCTATCACCAAAAGTTGACATCACCAAGGAATTTTAGGTTGTAACATTGTGGTTAAGTAATGTAATGAAAGCACAGGCACAGGCATGTAGGAGTAACCTCTAGCGAGAGAGTATTGTTTGTGCAGTTACATAGGGCTAGCTGCCAGAGAAGATCATCAAGAAACCTAACCTAGGCAGACATTTTGAAACATTCCAGATCAGAGAAATCATTCCTCCTAACTAACACAACCAACTGGAATAAAAACTCAGTAGGGTACTAGTGGACAGATCTACAAATCTGCAGTTTCAGGTGAACCTACCTGGGGGGTATCCACATAGAGAAACTATTTACCTGTAGTTTGTCTTCTGTATCTTGTCTACCTGTATCTCAAGTCTAACTATGTATGAATATAATAGAAAGAAATTCATAGATTTCTGTTTAAATACCAAACCACCTCCATCCCTTCCCTTACAATCTTACAATGCCTGCTAGTGATATGACTGTAAAATCACTGAAACCAATAGTTACCTGTAAATTCCCGTCTTGTCTACCTGATAGAAACCAATAGTTACCTGTAAATTCCTGTCTTGTCTACCTGATAGAAACTAATAGTTACCTGTAAATTCCTGTCTTGTCTACCTGATAGAAACCAATAGTTACCTGTAAATTCCTGTCTTGTCTACCTGATAGAAACCAATAGTTACCTGTAAATTCCTGTCTTGTCTACCTGATAGAAACCAATAGTTACCTGTAAATTCCTGTCTTGTCTACCTGATAGAAACCAATAGTTACCTGTAAATTCCTGTCTTGTCTACCTGTCTCAGTATAACTATGTATTAATATGATAGAAAGGAATGTATTGATTCTGAATAAATACCAACATCATGTTTTAATTATTACTCATTTTTTATTGTCATTTATATACTGGTGAATTTACTGACCTATCACTGTTATAAATCTGGAATAAACCTATAGAATCTAAGACGTTCTAATCAAAATAATTCTGTCTAATGATCTGGATTACCCCCCCTGAAAACATTCCATTACACCATTTGCACTCCGGATATATTTCTAGCCCCTCAGAACAATCAAATCTGTCTACAGGCCTAGGTTTAAATAATAATGATTATACCAATTCATAAGAGCATATTTACTAATATAAGATTCAGATCAAAGACAACTAGATTAGACATAGGGGTTAACTTTCAGACACTACAGGTAAGGTATGTATTAAATCATACCCAGGGTTATTTTTTATGCAACGGAGAAAACTGACCACAATTCAAACATAAATATATTTCTGGCTGAATATTACTATAAAACTTGGTAGATATTAAAATATAATCAATAATAATTATCACTACAGACCATCTGACCTACTTTCCTATATCTATTGCTTGAGGCCAACACATTGGTAAAATCACAGAAACACTGGCTGAGGCATCAGAATCTTTTTAACCTTTACAAAATTTGAACCAAATGCACTGAATAGCCTAACAGACAACTTGCTACAAACTGAGCTCGTCCACTGCCACAAATACACTACATAAATGAGTACCTACAGACCAAGTAACACACTTTCCAGCAATTAGCCTGTTCCAGATCTTGACCACACCCTTCAAATAACCAAGATGGATGCTGTAAGTCCCAGACAATATGACCTAGTCTGAAATATTTCATAATTTACTTTTTAATTAAGGTATTATATGACTTACATGAAGTGGTAAAAAATATGACTCATTATCAATCATAACTTTTATACTATATAACTAGTGAAACGTGGGAGTTTTACACCCTAAAATTTTCCTTCCTATTGGATACAGAAGGGTGGGCAACTACTATATAATAAATTAACAGTCAAATAAACTTCGGATCTTCAAAATCATCAAGAGTAAAAATTTGGTAGTCTGATTGAATATAACAATCAAATATAATTCATATCATCTTTGATTCATTTCAATTAGGTATTAGGTATGTGGCGTAAAATTACAGAGAAAAAGAAGACCAGCCTTCAATTGTACCATTAAAATTCATTTTAACATAGAATAAGATATATGGAGTGAAATTATAGATTATTAAAAGAGCATGGGGTCTTTCTTTAAAATGTAGTAAAATTCTTTATTATTTAGGATTAGGCATAAGGTGCTAAAATACAAACGAAAAGAAGACAGATCTTTCTTCAATATGTTCTCAAAATTATATCTGATTAGTTTCATTTCGTCAAATTACAGACGTCCAGAGCATGGGTCATTTATTAACTATAATAGATTATTATTCTTCGTGAATTTTATCACCTTTTGATATCAGAGTTATATTCAAACTTATTGACTCGGCTGAATTGTGATGGACATGTGAACTTGTTGACCTTTCTGTCCATAGTGACCACTGTCCAGTAGAGGGAGAAACACAAGTCAATAGAACAGCCTGTCTTAACAACCAGCTCATCCATCAATTGGTGTTACATGACACTTGACAACTACATGCTATTCATTAACTGGCTACTTTTCAATTGATATTTCAACAACTTGTCAACTGTTTTGATGGCCATTTGAATCAATCGGATTTCCGTCCTTCCTGAAAACAAGCCCACTGTCTAAATATTACCTTGTGACTTCTGGGAGGGGCTGAGATAAAATGTTCCTCCCTTGGCTTGTAGCAAAATTAGCCTAACCCACTGAACGTTTAAACAAGTAAGCCAATCATTCATTTTGTTGTTGTTGCTGTCCTGGCAAAAAGACAGAAGAAAAGTAGGATGTAAAACTCCAATTAGTCTACTTAGCTGGAAGTAGATATCAACTTTTTGTCTACCAACCAACCATAGACCAATTATAAGTAAGACTCTTCCCCCCCACCCCTGAAACCATAGATAGTTTTCCCCTGTTGACCAGGTGTCTGTTATTGAATTAACTATATAAATGATGTTTTGATAGGTATATGTCAGTTGTCTCCTCATTATTTTACCACTATCATTCTCTTACATGTCCCCAGCTTGAATACTGAAGTTTAATTCACCATTAGACTTGTCAATGTCGAGTAGTACTACTCGATATAATAATGACTTTTCAATGAAGGAGACAGTTTTAAAGCTCAATACACACAAAGTTTGACAGTCCAATGAAAAATTACTTAATCAAATTTAAACTTGTGTCAATTCTTCATCAATATTTTTTCTTTCAGGACAGGTTTAAATCTGAAGAGACAATCTTCACAATGTCAAGCCTTGACTGCAATAGCCACCTTTCAAGTTTCATGTATCACGCAGAAGTTTGTATATGCAGCGATTTGATTGGATTGTTTGCTAGCAAATACAGCCAATCATGATTTTTCAAACAAATATCTCCTGGTATCCATTTGTCTTCAATGAGCAAAAATCAAAACCCCAAAAACACTTTACAGTGGGCAAGAGTATGAACCACACCAAAAACACATGCGCCCGATCTATTGTTGACATCCCCCTGTGGTACCACCCATGGTGTTCCTTTGTAACCCTTATTAGTGTTCCTTAGCACCCTGTGATGTAGAGCACTAGGCCTCTATAGAGTGAACCTTTCTTTAAACCAGTTCAATCAGACCTACATGTTTCTGAAGTTTTTTTTCTATAGAAGACATGTCATGAATTCCAATCACTCTGTTCTATTTCTAGACTAGTATAAGATGGTGTCATTCATTATATAAAAACTCATTTAAATGTCTTCTGAGACATGTTTAGAATATCAATCCCTTCATCAGGACATCTAATATCAAAATCAAAACTTTTATTAAGGTGTAAATAACTGAGGTGTGTGTCGTTTGGTAAATTATCAATACACCAGAACAAAGAAGCGGAAACATGAGGTAAGGATCAAGACAGATAGCTTCATCTACATTCTACTGTATCATCAAAACCTGCAATGTACAATTTTGTACTTGGGGCACAGGCTATTCTTTCACTATGTAAAATATAAAAGTGAGAGGAGGGGATGGCCCACTCGTAGAAACATCACTGGTTCTGTATTACATTATATGTCAAATCTCACCAGATGATAAAATGTAAAATAAAGCCTCAACTCTCTGATGGGAGGTATGTTATCACTTTAACGTGGTCAATGTTCATGATTTTACATATTAATACTATTATCTATCTGATTTACATAAATAATCCACATTTATAACAGATTTATTTAAATATAACTACGACTGACGGTTAAGCTAGAAACTTGGTGTTAGAGGGTGAAAGCCATCACTGGGAAACCTCTGAACACTGCCTGTGGCATCAAATTTTGAGGAGGATTCAAACCAACAGCAATATCCTAACAGACTAACAGTTTCACAAGTCACAATCAACTAACATAAATATTCAAACCTTTTAATGCAAGATAGTTGATAAAAAACAAAGGTTTCACTTCTGGATTTCTTTGCAATAATAGCTGTTTTTGGAGAGTAAATATTTATTGAATTGAATACGAAAATAACAAAATCT